CTTCAATTTCACCGACCTCTTGACGACGTCTACGTTGTTCCTCTAGCGTGTTTCGTCGACGCTCTCGGCGTTCGGCCAGTTCCCGTTCGGCCGCCTCTACAATTCGATTAATGGTTGTCTCGGTGACCAAATACACCAAAGCTTTCTGTCGTTCCGTCAACGGGGGCAGTCGTGTCTTGTCCCATTTTTTTCGTAGCAAAGAGGACATACGTTTACTGGCCGACGAGGTGGCTCGACTCAGACGATTACCGGCCATACTTTGTCGAGCACGTTTGGTTTCGTAAACAACCCGTGTTGTCATTCGTTTCCATAGTAAGAAGAACTGTCAAACATTAAACAAGTGGTACGAAACGATAAACAGAGCGAGAGACAGAGAGTGAGAGAATAATCAAAGGATCAACTTCACACGGTCATTCTAAAAATTGGTCATGTCATAGTTGCCTATTTGATCCACGTAGCTCAACGATTTTGTGAATGGGTTCGTTCATCAGACTACCGGATTGATGGGCCACACATTAGATCGACTAGATGATTAATTCATTTAGCCAGAAATACATTGATAAGTAGAATTTTCAGCTGTGGCTCAGTTGCACTTTTAGCCGAGGAGACTGTGTCATGCTGTCACAACTCACGAACCCGTCCACACACACCCTACTGAGTCGTTTTTGATGGGGTAAGCCGTGAAGGAAACAAACCACAGTTGTCCGTCCTTGAAAACTGGACGAAATGAACGATAACAAAACACCTGTGATCCAGTTCATAGGAACGTATACCCCTTTAAACACGTCCGAGTGGCTCCATAAACATCGATGCCGGATCGGGCCGATGACTACTGCCACAGCCAAAAATACGCGAATCGGTGTGGTTTGTACACCTCCTCGGAATCGGATTGGATTCATAGGTTTTAGTCAACCTCAAACGAGGTGAACTACTCCTGGTTCACTGGTCCGGATTTTGGTGTATTGTTCTCCGTGTTTGGTGCGAGAACACGTCCGCCACGAGAAGCAGTAGATACAGCTTCCTCAGTGAGGGGTATTCGAGACTCCTGGGCGCATTTAGCGAGGAGCAAGGTGGTGAACCACCACCCAAAACATCCACTCTCGACCATACTGAGAGGCTTCCGAAGATACATGAGAATAAC